CGTTAATTTAGACGAAAAATGGGCCGATTTGACGAAATTGGCAAAACATTAGGATAAAGTTGGCTAACCGAAAATCTATTGGGTATAATTGACGACGAGAGCAAAGTTCTGAATAGGAACGACATTTTTTTCCCTTTTTGGGTGATGAAGAATTGAAGATGATGTCGGGGTTTTTTATTTTTATTTTTTGGTTTTAAAAAATCAAATTAAGAGTTTAACTTTGAATAGTACTAAAATGGGCTTAGGAAAGCAAGGGTAGTTTTGTTAATTCACACCAGAATTCTGATTATGTCAGGATGTGATGTCATTTTATGAGATCCCAATAGGTGGTAGGATACCCGTTTTCAAATTCCTACCCAATCCCAACTGTGTATAAATAAATAAGTAACTAAAATCCCATACCCAATAATCTCTCTCCCATTCAATACCCGCCCAATTACCAGCTCTATTCACAATCATTACCAATCTTACGAATAATGTTATGAAACCTTCAAGGGAAAAAAAATAAGGAAGCAAACTTTTGAGGTTTAATAATATTTCTTAAACTTGAAAAAAAAAAAAGTAAACTTTGGAGAGCATGTAAATTAGGGCTGGCAACAAAAGTAAACTTGAAAAAAAGAGGTATGGAGATGGAAATAGCATGTAGCAGATGTGGAAAAGAAGAAGAAACAGATATGCACATATTTTTTGAATGTCAGCTGGCCAAAAAGGTGTGGAAGGAATCAGATGTGGATGTTCGTTATTACAGGCATGCAACTAGTTTTTTGGACTGGTTTTGGATGTTAACACAAAAAAATGAAGTAGGAAAACTTGAGGAAGTAGCTGTGATATTGTGGCAGCTATGAAAGTGCAGAAATGAAGAAATATACAATGGAGTCCGCAATGAACCAAAAATTGTACTTATGATGGCCAAAGGAATCATTGATGAATTCAGACTTCACAATGAAGTTAAAGGAAAAGAAAAGTCTGCACAGAACATTCAATGGACAGCACCACCTGAGGGTATGTTGAAAATTAACTTTGATGCTGCTTATAAAAATGGAGAAGCTGGTATTGGTGTTGTTGTCTGGAACCATAATAGTGAAATAGAAGCTTTATACATGGAGCATTTGAAGTAAGTTGCAGATGCAGAACATGCTGAATGTCTTGCACTTTTCAAAGCAGTAGAATTTGCAAAGGAGCAGGATATCACTCACTGCATTTTTTAAGGAGATGCAATGAATGTAATCAATAGAGTTAAAAAACATGGGAAAGACTTGTCATATATTGGACATATTATTGATGATATTAAGAAAGGTTGTGTAGAGTTTAGTAAAGTGCAAGTATATTATGTAAATAGGAAAGGTAATGCAGTTGGTCATGTAGCTGCTAATTTAGCTTTAGAGATTAATGTTAGGTGCTTGTGGTATGATAATTTTCCAGTAAATGTACTAGATGTGGCTGCGACAGAAATAATCTAATAAAAGATCTTGTATTTTCTCAAAAAAAAAAATATTATTTCTTAAAAAATAAGAAAATAAAAATTGAGTGATGAAAACCATGGCAATATTATTTCTTAATAACATTTTATTTTTTTCATTGAAAGGATATTGAGCGGCAAATAAATGGTTTGTCCTGAAATTTGTCTCTTTTGTTTTATTAAATAAACCAAGATTTCGATTTGGGCTGGGCTGTGAAGGGTTAAGCAGTCGATTTAGACTTTTAAAAATCCTTAAATTCTATGTTACTTGGGCTAGCTATTTTTATGCTTTCGAGTGCCCTTTTGTTCGTTGGGTTTTATTATTTTCTTCCCTCACGAGTCACGAACCACGTAGCAACCCACATCAAAACCTTAATCGTGATATACTCAGCGAATTATTTTTATAGAAATAGATACAAAGAAAAATGACAAAAAATGATGTGACAAGATCTTAATTATGTCCTAATCTTAAATGCATAAACTTTATTTGAAAAGTTTTAAGAATGGATGAGTGAAATTATTTCCTTGTAAATTTTTCTTATTATTTTTTACTTGTACCAATCATTATCCTTATTTTTAACGAGCCTTCACGAATGCTGAGATGGACGAATGAATAGGGCCAAGTTGCTGCCCCACCTACTTTTCAGCTTTCTCTCACCTTTTCTTCTTTTAGCTTTTTTCTTATTAAAACTATAACTTTGAAGGTTCAAACCCAATCGACTTCTTCTCTTCCTTCCTCTAATTCTAGTACTCATCCCTTCCTTTGGTCCCTAAAACCAAACTTCTCACACCATTAAAAACCTTGTAGGTTATAATCAAGTTTAATTCACCAAAGTCTCACAACAATGGAATTCAACAAGAATTTCATGCCCACCCGACTCATCCTACTTCTACCTATTTTACAGCAAAAATTTGCAGCATAAATTTTCACATAGCCATCTGCTGCTTCCTCAGTCCATACGCCACCAATCTTTGATAATTAGTAGTATTGTCAGATTCGGCTCGGACCGGTCGGTCGAACCAGTTAAACTGGAAACCGGACCTCTGACCGAACCGAGTCTGTCTAAAAATCGCCAAATTCAGGTTCGGTTAAAACCGATGAAAACTCCAGCCAAACCGAAAATCAGATCGAACTGGGTTAACTTGAATTTTTTAGTTTTTTTACTTTTGACCCAAATTTTTCACAATTTTCCATGGAATCCAACATCTTCCAAGCCCAATTTTTTTTTTTCCTTTTCTTCACAAATAGCCATCAACTTTCAATGTTTGTTTTATTCAAGACATTATTTTGGTTTTTTGGTCCCCAGCTTTTAATTTTTACTATTAAAGGCCTTATTTTGATTTTTTTTTTAATTTTCTCGCACAAACCAACTTTAAACTATAACTTTAATATGTCGAAATTGATTTCAAAATACATTTGTCTTTATGTTCAAAGTTAATTATTTCGCAAATTCAACAATTTTTTAAGTAACAATTGATGTTTAGTAATAATTAATTTATCTTAATAACCTTATTAATATACTTACTTCACAAATAACTATAATTAACTAATACAAAAAATATCAATATTAACTGTTACAATAAAAAAAGAGATATAAATTTTAAGATTTTTTAATTGTAAACAGATAATAACTAAATATTTTATTAATAATTAACAAAAATCATCTTAATCGACCTTTCGAGTTCAACTTTGTCCCATCAAAACCCATTTTCAAGATATAAAATACTAATTTGACTTTAATAATTGACAATTATATATAAAATTTTAATTAAAATATAATTATTAATTAATTAATATTTATTACGTTATTATGATGTCATCCAAGTCGATCCCCTAATTCGCTCCGAGTCGACCCCCGAGTCGCTCGATCCCCTAGCCATGCTGAGTCGAGTTTCGGTTTGAGCTTGACAATACTGATAATTACAGAATCATAAAAGGTGGCCAACAGTTTTTTTTTTTTTGAGGAAATACATTCTAATATGTTGAAGGGAAGATGTTTATGTCTTAAATTTATCTCTTTTGGGTAAGTTCTTGACGGCGGGATCAATTTATATATGAAGAAACTGAATTTATACAATAGAAATTAATAAACAATATGGATGTAAGGTTTGTAGATTCTGAGAAATTTGGTTTGAGACCTTGAAGAAGAAAGAAATAGATAGAGCAATTGAGTCTTTTAGATCTGCAAAGCTTTTTATTTATTCTTTAAAAAAAATTAAAAGAAAACGAGGTGAGAGGAAAAATGAAATGGTGGGGCAATAGTTGGCCCAGTTCAGCCGGCCATGTCAGATTCGTGATGGGTCGTTAAAAATTTGTCGTTGAGACAATCATTTTCCAAACCTTAAACCGCACAACAGAAAAGTTCGTCTTGGATTCTCGGACAAAATTGGGTCTCGATTTCTCATACTCATTTCACATGTTTTGTCAACCAAATAGATTGTGGTGGAATAATAAGAACTTCTCCACCCGTAACCATAGGTCGATGATTCGAATCTCGCCATGGGCATAGGCATGGCCGACGGTGAATACCTTGCAATATGGAAAAAAAAAAAAAAAAGTTTTGTCAACATCTCCCTAAAAACATTAGAGAAAGCATATATGTAGATGGAGTAGGATTATTCCATTTCTAAAAGGATGTTTTTTTTTTTTTTGTGAGTTATAGTCTAATAGCTTCCTGTTTTTTTAAGAAAATAAATAACAACATAAAAGTTCTACTTTATCTTCTTCGTAGATGAATATTGAACTCTCTTAAATTAAAATTATTTTGAAACAGTATTAATTAGAAAATAAGTAATTCTGCACTTGAAAAGGACAACAATGATACAGCTGAATGATCAAAGGTCTGCTGATTCGGGACCTAATCAAAATTACTTAATCAGCAAAAAAGTTGAAAAAATAAACTAATTCATCTGTTTTGAAATTATGGTCCTATTTGTTTTATACTCTGCAGTAAAATAAAGAAGATAATTATTTTAAATCAAACTGTTTTTATAAAAGCTAGGGATGTTTACTTGTTTCGTGCTTACTGAAGAGGGTTTGCTAGATTCTCTCTTGCAAGTAACCTTCTTCGGGGAATCGATAATTGTCCGAGTAATTTAGATGGAAAGCAGTCTCGTTACCTCGTATTACACTCAAGATCGCTTCTGATGGGGAACAAAGTGGGAAGGTTTTTGGGGATTAAGGGTCAGTCGGGGATAGATTAGATAGTAAAAGAAAAACATCTTCAGACTTTATTGGAAAATTTTACTACAACGAACACAATAGCTGTGAAGAAAATGTAGCATAACCATGATGAATAGTGTGAATTTGACAACCTAGGGATGATTTTCTACTACAATGAACACAATAGATGTGAAGAAAATGTAGCCTGTGAATTGACAATCTAGGGAATCATCCTAGTTTCAGGTCCATGAGTTGGAACTATCGGCTAGTTTACTAAAAATCCTTAAATCTTACTAAAAGAAACGCTGAATTTTCTCCCATTTAAATCATCAAAACTTCAATGATCCGATACTGCATTTTTAGGCCCTTGTATGACTAGCCTTTTGGAGGGAGGAAAAAAAAAACCCTTTTGATTCTCCATTTAAACCTAAAAATCGAGAGAAAAACAAGTACCATTCGTATAACTTTTTAACTAATCTGATGGGAGCACAACTTTACAACCACACTTAAGCTTTTGCCAATAATGTAACATACACTTTTCCCTTTTGATTAGATGAAAAATACAAATTGCAACTCGCAATTCCAAAAAGTGGAGCTCCTAAGTTCTAAACTAGTTCCCAATTGGCACGTGGAGTACTATTGCATTGCCACTACTCCAATCTTTCTACAACTGACTACATATCTTATTAATTACATCCTTGACTTTTGAGCCTTTGAGGATTGATGGGGCGTTGTCGGGATACTCTGTTCATTCCTGAAGAAATTCTGTGGATCAACCGCTGTCTTAATTTTGACCAATCGATAAAAATTATCCTTGAAATACTTCAACCCATAAACTTCCCCTTCACCATAACTGTTCTTCCCATTGTCGGTGGTGCCAATATCAAGATCCCTGTAGTTCAGAAAAGCCTGCCTAGGATTCTTTGACACATAAGGAGTCATGAAACTGTAGAGTTGCCTTGCTTGATCAATGTACTCGTTGAGCAGATTAGGATCTGCATCATCCCAATTCACTGAATACTGAATCTTGAAAATGATCCCTTTGCGATGTGGAAATGGTGTTTCGTTTTCTGGGATTTCGGCCATTCTTCCGCCATAAGGGTTGAAGACCAGCCCTGCTTTTCCCAGCTCGACCATTTTCTGAAACAATGACTGTAATCCATCTCTGGGAATTGGGGTCTGGACGTAATCGGATTTTCTCTTGAGGAATTTTACAGGATCTGGAGTCCTGCTCAAAAGGTCCTTTGGAGATGGAGTCCCACTCTTGGAAATTGACCACCAAACCATTGATTGAACCCAACTCATTTCGATGCAGTCGGTTTTCTTCAATCCTAGTTCGGGGAAATCAGAGTTCATTACGGACATCAGCCTGTTTGAATCTCCGAGGAATAACGCATTGAATGTCAATCTGATAATCTTCTGGTTCTGAACCTTCGTTAAAGTTGTATTAGTTGTTTTTGGCGTGATTGGTTGGACAAGAACTCTGATGAACAGATCGTTGTCGATTTTATCAGCAACATTTTGCCATTTGACTAAAACATCGGTTGCATTTTCTTCCTCTGTTTTGTAAACCGAAAAAACAGAGACAAATTCCGGTACAAGGACTAACTTGATTTTATAAGCCAAAACGACACCAAAGCTTGCCCCTCCACCGCCTCGAATAGCCCAAAACAGATCTTCCCCCATTGCATTTCTATCCAAAATCCGGCCATTAACATCAATAACTTGCGCATCCACAACGTTGTCTACCGTTAGGCCGTCCCTACGCAACATCGGACCATAACCGCCGCCGCTCACGTGGCCGCCGACGGCGACAGTTGAGCAAACACCGGCAGGAAATCCGAGACCTTTGCTCTGTTCCGAAATTCCGTAGTAAAGCTCCCCGAGTGTGGCTCCGGCTTGTACCCAAGCGGTTTGAGAAGGCAGATCAAATTCAATCGACCGGAGATTGAACATATCAAGAATGATGAAAGGGGTACTAGAAACGTACGAAATCCCTTCGTAATCATGGCCGCCGCTTCGGATCTTCAGTTGCAGCCCAGTTTGTTTGGTGCACAAAACAGTTGATTGAACCTGTTGAACTTCAAAAGGGGTCACGATAATCGATGGTTTCTTAACGCTTGAAGTGTTGAATCGCAGGTTTCGGACATAGGCATCTAGGACGCTTGTGAATGAAGGGTTTGTCGGGCTGTACAGAATCTTAGTGACTTGTTCGGAGGTGACCCCATTTTTGGTTAAGCAGTTTGCAAAATCGTCATAGTATGGATCTGAGGCTGATGCAATGAACAGAGTATTGGAAGTGAAACAGAGGATAAGACCAAGAAGAAGAAATGGGAACATTGTAGAGGGCAATAATTGAATCCCAATCGCTTCCTTGCTGCTTTAAAAGGGATTGGTGGATTCTCTCTCTTGCCAAGAAGCCACTCGTTTTGTTGAATTTATTCTTCTATAACCCATAGTATGAAAGTTGATTCATGAGTCAACAGAGCTTTTATGGTATTTTAATTCTTACTTTCGTACTAAGAAAATGCTCATCAATATTATTATCTGTTATCTCAAGTTTTGTAGTTGCATAATTTTTCCTTTTAACAAACAAAACTTTTTTTCCTAACTTCAATTGAAATGTTATATAGTACATTATTAACCTCTATCATCCATCGCATCTAGCGGAATTGAAGTGAGAGAATCTGTTGCGCACTTTGCACTTACATCATATCAAGAGTATAATAACATGGATTTTGTCCTAAATGGAGACCATTTTTTTTTTGTCTTTTATTTATTTATTTATTTTTTTAATAAAACAAACCATTTTTTTTTGAATCCAAGAGCTTGGCCAATGCTGACCTGCCACTGTCAGAAATTGTTTCAATAGATTACTACTAAGAGCATTCACAACAATGGTGTAAACATTGTGTAATGTCAGTATAAAAAAAGAGTACATCCATTGGAGAGGATTTAATCTTATCAACAGTAGCAAAATTTTGATACTATTGAATTTGACAAAAGTGGAGCATGAAACGGGCCCGTGGTGAGTCGCTTAGCCCAGCCCCATTCCCTTTTTTTTTTTTATTTATTTTAAATTTTTTCTTTCCGGCAGGGCTCATCATGGGCAACCATCATTCCTTTTTTCTTTTATTTTTCTTTTTTGCGCCATTTCGTTTTCTTTCTTTTTTTTTGTTAATTCTGTTTTTGTGACTGTTATAAGTCCTTTTTTTTGTCTTCTTCACAGTATCTCCAAAAAAAAATTTTTCATTTTGGTTGTCAAATTTGTGGCCATAGAAATTTTTTGAACGTTGAAAAAACTAGCCGTTTCTAAATGTTTGCACTATAATTTGATAATTTTTATAAGAGAATAATTTAAGATTTTGCCTATAAATACCCCCAACATTGATTTTCATAACACACCACTTTCTCTATTTTTCCTCTCTTCTATACTTATAGTTCTTTCTTTACTATACATCAACTATTCAATTTTTTTCTTCTATTTTCTACTACCATGAGCCGAAAAAATAACAAAAATAATCCTACAAACAATGCAAATCTGTCTCACAATTTTCTAAATTCCTCCCGCCCCCAAAATTTTCATCCTAATATGCAAAATTTTGGATATTCTCAAAATTTGGGTACCCCAAATTTGCCTCCTTATGTCCCAAATCCATTCGTGATGTATCAACTGCCCGGTTATTTTTCTCAAATGATTGGAAATAATTTTCTAATGGGATTTATAAATACGGGTTCGTCTTCCGGAAGTCCACCTACACTGGTTTCAACAAGAGGAGACGTTCGAGACGATGACTCTCCAAATGCAACGCCAAGGGCATCAACTCCCCAAGATTATTTTCCACAATTTTCAACTCAATTTGGTTTGGATAATATTTCTTTATCGCAAGCACCAGAAAAAAAAAATACTTCAAATTATCAAGTTGGAGCAAGGAGGAAGACATACTTCTGGCTCGAGCATGGCTCACGGTTTCTAACTGTAGCGTTACAGGAAACTACCAAGATATGAAGGAATTTTGGAAGAAGATTACTACCTACTACAATGCAAACCGAGGATCTTTACCACAAAGAGAACAAGGTAAGTTAAAGTCTCATTGGTTTTGGTTTTCAAAGTATGTCAATGAATTTAACCAACACTACAATAGACTATGGAATGAACACCGTAGTGGGTGGAGTGATGATTCTGTAAGGGATGCAGCTCATGAGGTATATTCCCAAATTAAGAAAAAACATTTTGTGCATGAGCATGTGTGGAAAATTGTGAAAAATGATCCGAAATGGGCAGTTGTTTCTACCGTTGAAGAGTCATCAAAGAGATCAAGAATCAATGAATCCGGATCATACACTTCATCATCAAATGCTGATCGAAATGTTGAAATCAATGAGATCGAATAGGAGGTTAGCCCAATAGGCCAAAAACCAGCCAAGAAAGGAAAGCGGAAGTCAAAAGAAAAGTGCAAGGCACGTGATGATGAGGATGAACTTGTTGAACTTCGACAAAAAATGATGGATTTGAAGCCAAAAAATTAGAGCAACAAGAATTTTACAATCAGGCGTACATGAGGCATACGGTTACCAAAGAATATGAACTTTTGACGAAGGACACCTCGAATATGACACTAGAACAATGAGCAAGACATGAACTTTTAGTTGAAAAAATCTTGTCTAATTATAGATAGTCATGTTAGGTTATTATTTTGAATTAGTTATTTTCATTGCGAGTTTTTGGTTTTATTTAAACTAGAATGTAAGAGTTCTGTCACTGTATTTGAATTTTATTACATCATATTATTGTGTTTTAAATATGAAGTATTATTATGTTTACTGCATCGTATAATTATTATTGTACAACTTATAATTAATTGCATGAAAAAAGTAAAAAAAAAATAATAAATTCGAAACAATCTGGAGAAACTCAAAAAACTCATAAAAGTTAAGTATTAAATACTTTAAATGAATAAAAACATTGATGATGTAGTCACTTCATTGTTTTTTCATATGTCCATACGTACCACAGTGTAGTCATATCTCTCTTTTTATCTTGTCCATTAAATACATTGATAGTGTAGTCACGTCATTCTTTTTTCATTTGTCCATACGTATCACAGTGTAGTCACATATCTCTTTTTATCTTGTCCATTAAATACATTGATAGTGTAGTCACGTCATTCTTTTTTCATTTGTCCATACGTATCATAGTGTAGTCACATCTCTCTTTTTATCTTATCCATTAAATACATTGATAATGTAGTCACGTCATTCTTTTTTCATTTGTCCATACGTATCACAGTGTAGTCACATCTCTCTTTTTATCTTGTCCATTAAATACATTGATAGTGTAGTCACGTCATTCTTTTTTCATTTGTCCATACGTATCACAGTGTAGTCACATCTCTCTTTTTATCTTGTCCATTAAATACATTGATAGTGTAGTCACGTCATTCTTTTTTCATTTGTCCATACGTATCACGGTGTAGTCACATCTCTCTTTTATCTTGTCCATTAAATACATTGATAGTGTAGTCACATCATTCTTTTTTCATTTGTCCATACGTATCACAGTGTAGTCACATCTCTCTTTTTATCTTGTCCATTAAATACATTGATAGTGTAGTCACGTCATTCTTTTTTCATTTGTCCATACGTATCACAGTGTAGTCACATCTCTCTTTTTATCTTGTCCATTAAATACATTGATAGTGTAGTCACGTCATTCTTTTTTCATTTGTCCATACGTATCACAATGTAGTCACATCTCTCTTTTTATCTTGTCCATTAAATATATTAATATTGTAGTCACGTCAGTCATTTTTTATTTGTCTATACGTACCATAGTGTAGTCACATCTCTCTCATTATCTTATCCATACATTGGATAATATAGTCAAATCTTTTTTTGATCTTGTTGCAAGTACACTCTATAAATATGGAATGAGACTAGTAATATTGTTCAAGCCTTTTCGACTCTTTGGTATGCATATATTTTGCAACAACTCTTCACACACGACCATGTCTCAAAATTCTCTTCCCAATTTTGATCCCTCTATTTTTGATGATGAAATGAATGATTATATGCAGGAACAAATCTGTGATAACACGGGTCTAGAGGATTTAAGGAGGTTGGATGAGTTGATTGCAAGTTCTTCGCGAAGACGAAGGCATATCGATCGAGAGCACGAAATTGGAGAACAAAAGTTATTTAATGATTATTTTTCTGACAATCCAGTATACTCTTCAGCTACTTTCCGTACAAGATTCTGCATGAGGAAAGAATTATTTCTCCGCATTGTACAATCTCTCCAAAATCACTCTGAATACTTTCAACAAAGGCCTGATGCATCGAGTAAAATGGGATTTTCCCCCATTCAAAAATCTACAGCAGCTCTTTGTCAATTAGCATACGGATTACCAGCCGATTGTGTTGACGAATATTTGAGAAGACCTAATGATAGTGACGTTCAACGTTTACTTCAAATGCACGATGAACGACATGGTTTTCCAGGTATGCTTGGTAGCATTGATTGCATGCATTGGAAATGGAAAAATTGTCCGGTTGGATGGAGAGGTCGTTTTACTTCCGGTTATCAAGGTTCTCCCACCTTAGTGCTTGAAGCAGTCGCATCTGCAGATTTATGGATATGGCATGCATTTTTTGGAATTACAGGATCTAACAACGACATCAACGTGCTCAACCAATCTCCTCTGTTTAGCGATGTGTTACATGGGTATGCTCCTGATATTCAATTTACTGTAAATGGTACTCAATACAGCCGAGGTTATTATTTAGCTGATGGTATATATCCGGAGTGGGCAACATTTGTGAAAAGTTTTACATCTCCGGTGGATTCTAAGAGAAAACTCTTCAAAAAGGTGCAAGAAGCAGCAAGAAAAGATGTTGAGCGAGCATTTGGAGTGCTTCAGTCCCATTAGAATATTTTACATATTCCATCTCGATTGTGGGACAGAGCATCGTTTAAAGATATAATGTATACTTGCACCATATTACACAATATGATAGTTGAGGACGAGGGAGATGAAGCAACAAAACTGGACTGATGACGCGGGGACTCAATTTTTGCATCATCAAGAGTTAATCCCTAATATACAACAATACATTCAAAGGAATGCAGAAATACGCGACCGCGAAGAGCACCATCAACTATGATCAGATTTGGTTGAGCACATTTACGAACGTTTTCGAGGAAATGTAGTGTTGTTAAATTATTTTTAGATATTTTTAGATTTTCAATATCTCTATAAACATCGTCTAATAGTGAAATTTCATTATTGTTATTTTTTAAATTAATTATTGTACTTTATTAATATATTGTTCACTCAATGATTATTAAGTTTTTTTTATATTCTTGTGTTATTTAATTATGTTTTTAGATTTTTAAAAAAATAATAAAATTTTATAATGTACTTTAGAAGTCATATAAACAAAATAATTATGAAAAATAAATTTAATTATTATTACAAGTAAATGTAATTATTTTTTATAAAAAGT